CACAGACTTACTCAGACCCACTCTTTCTAAGCTCCGAGAGGAGACAACTTGAGGGGCACCAGGGAAGAACTGAGCTGTGTGGCCTCCGAACGAGGGCTGGAGGGGCAGCTTTCTCCTGGACAGACGTGCTGGTGGAGGCTGTTATTCCTTTGGTGGGCCCTGCCCCCACAGGGCAGGCAGACAGCCGCCATATCTGGGACTCCAGCAACCTGGCTCACACAGTTGGCCCCACCCTAGTGATTCCCTGAGGCCCCACCCAACCAAGCTGTTTCCAAAGGCTTTAGCATAGGATTGGCCTGTCTTGGATCCTGCTTCAGAGATTTCTAAAATTTCTCAAACAAGCAGCACCTGGCACCATCGGGCCAGTTGACACCCTGTGTCAACAAAGACCAGTGCACAGTAGTGGAGCTGTCAAGGTGCCAGTTGCGTAAATCGCAAACAGCTGGGAGCCCAGCACCATCCCTGGCAGTAGCAGACCGATCAGAGTTGAGATATACCCCCAGCAACGGAGGCTGGGAAGCAGACATCCATCCCCAGGCAACAGAAGCACAGACCAGCAGCAGAGAACTGTCCCCTGCCAAAAAACTACAGCAAAGGCTGAGCAGGAGCTGAGCCCCACTGGGCAGTAGCACTCTCCAGCCACCAGCAGCAGAACCGGGGGCTCCATAGGGCCCTGTGTGACCCAGTAGCCCACAAGAGCAGTGTGGAGCCGGGGCTCGAGAGGGGCCAGTCTCAGTGAGCCCCATTCCTCTCGTTAAGTGGCCTGGCACTATAAGCAGCCAGCCTTGGTTCACAACTTGGCTTTTCCTGGACACCTCCAAGCCCAGCACAAGAAGCAGCCATCTGCAGTTCACGTTGTAGCTTATGCCTGGTGGCCCTGGATAGAGCACAGGCAGTGTCTGACCTTGCCCCAGAGCCAGCACACCTGGTGGAAAGCTTCAGAACACATCGAAACACCACCACCCAACCACCTCCATAAGGGACACACTCAATGAGTGGACTCAGTAGGTACCAGAGCCCTGCTGAAGTAAGTCTTGCTCTGTGTGGTGGGCCCCTATGCAGCTGATCCTCCAAGGTAGTGGCAAGTGGTCACAGCCAGTCCTTGCAGGTGACTAGCCTGAGTCAACCCCTCCCATTGATGTGCCAACAGTAATCAAGACTTAATTACAACAGAAGGGTATACAGTCCACACTAGGGGTGCACGAGGGCGCAGTTGGGGTGATCAGGGAGAATGTGCCACTGGATCCTACAGGACACATACAACAGAAGGCCACTCTACGAAGCCTGGGAGACATAGCAACTCTGTGTAATACACAGAAACAATCACAGGGAAGCAGGCAAAATAAGGAGACAAGGAAACATGTCCCAAATGAAAGAAAAGAATAAAACTCCAGTAAAAGAACTAAACAAAATGGAGATAAGCAATCTAACAAATGCAGAGTTCAGAACACAGGTTATAAGTTTGCTCAGGGAACTTGGTGAGACATCCAAGGGACTTAGTGAGACCTTCAAGGAACTTAAGGAGACCTCTGAGGAACTTAGTGAGAACATCAACAACATAAAAAAGGGCCTGTCAGAAATTAAGCATGCAATAACTGAAATAAAGAATAATTTACAGGGAATCAATAGTAGAGTAGGTAAAGCCAAGAAGCAAACCATCGATTTGGAAGGTAAGGAAGCAGAAAACACCCAACTAAAACAGCAAAAAGAATCCAGAAAAATGAGGATAGTGTAAGGAACCTTTGGGACAACTTCAAGCGTGCCAACATTTGCATCATAGGGGTGCCTGAAGGAGAAGAGAGAGAGCAAGAAATTGAGAACCTATTTGAAACAATAATGACAGAAAACTTCCCTAACTTGGTGAAGGAAACAGACATACAAGGTCCAGGAAGCACAGAGTCCCAAACAAGTTGAACCCAAAGAGGTCCACACCAAGACACATCATCATCAAAATGCCAAAGGTTAAATACAAAGGGAGAATCTTAAAAGCAGCAAGAGAAAAGCAGTTTGTTACCTACAAAGGTGCTCCCATAAGACTGTCAGCTGATTTCTCAAAAGAAACTTTGCAGGCCAGAAAGGAGTGGCAAGAGATATTCAAGTTGATGAAAAGCAATGACCTACAACCAAGATTACTCTATCCTGCAAAGCTATCATTTAGAATCGATGGCCATATGAAGCGTTTCCCAGACAAGAAAAAGCTAAAGGAATTCATCACCACCAAACCAGTATTATATGAAATGTTGAAGGGTCTTCTTGAAGGCGAAGTAGAACAAAAATATGAACAATAAAATGGCAATTAATACATATCTATCAACAAATGAATCCACAAACAAAATGAGCAAGCAGAACAGAAACAGTTTCATAGATACAGAGAACTTTTTGTTGCTTGCCAGATGGGTGGGGGCTGGGGAATGGGTGAAAAAGATGAAGGAATTAAGAAGTACAAATTGGCCCTGGCTGGTTTGGCTCAGCGGTTAGAGTGTCGGCCTGCGGTCCTGAGAGACCGGGGGTTCGGTTCCCGCTAAGGACATGTACCGAGGTTGCAGTTTGTCCCTGGCCCTGGTTGGTCGTGCGGGTGGCAACTACTTGATGTGTCCCTTTCACGTCAATGTTTCTCTCTCTCTCTCTCTCTCTCTCTTCCCCCCTCCCACTCTATCTGAACAAAACATAAAAAAAAAAATAATGTCCTTGGGTGAGGATAAAAAAAAAAAGTACAAATTGGTTGTTAAGGCTGATGAACCTCGCCCTGGCCGGTTTGGCTCAGCGGTTAGAGCGTCCGCCTGCGGTCCGGAGAGACCCGGGTTCGGTTCCCGCTAAGGGCACGTACTTCGGTTGCAGTTTGTCCCCGGCCCTGGTTGGTCGTGCGGGTGGCAGCCACTCGATGTGTCCCTTTCGCATCGATGTTTCCCTCTCTCTCCTTCCCGCTCTATCTGTACAAAGAGTGGGAAAATGTCCTCAGGTGAGGGAAAAAAATAAAAGACTGATGAACCTCAAAGGAAAGGGGGAGGGAGGGTAGGATGAGATAAACCAAAGAACTTCTATGCATATATGCACAACCAATGGACACCAACAATAGTATGGGGAAGGCGGGAGGGGGCAGGAATGGGGAGAAGGGGGTTAATGGGGAAAAAAGGGAGAAATATCTGTAATACATTCAGCAATAAAAATGAGTTTTTAAAAAAAATAAAATAAAAATATGAACTTATGATGTGCTTTATCTTTGAACAAAAATGTAATTCCCAGTTGTGGCCACTAAACAGGTCTAGAAACAATGATCAACCAAGCAGCAAGTAACATTCCCAGAGTCAGGATATAGTCTACAAATACCATTTCCCAATAAAAGAAAGCAGGACTGACATTAACTCTGAAGCAGGAGATACACAAAATGAACCCAGAATTTCCTTGTCATACCAGACAGTAGGAAAGCTATCAAAGATTACTAGAGTCTTATCAAAAGCATTCAAAAAAGAACGTGAACAGGTTACAACTATCAATGTACTAAAACACATTTAATGCATTTAAGACTAACAGTTCTTAAGAATACAAAATTTTAAAAACTTAGTAATTTTTGGAGGATATTAGAAAATAAATTCATTATTTTCAAAACAAAATAAAGGGACGAATCAAGCAATGGCCTAAGCTGCTCTAAAACTATCAAGTGTTCATGTTGGTGGCTGGGATTAGCTTTATTTCAAAGCTAATTTTTTAAAAATTACTAAAGTAATAAATGCTCACTATAATAAGCAAAGAGTAAAGGTATCCATACATAGTTTTTAAAAGAACAATTAATAATGCTCTTCCAACCTTACCCTATTCCCCCTCCCCCTCAAATACCAGTATGAACAGTTTCTTGTGTCTTTCCACTTCCCCTTCTCTCCCCCAGGAGTTATGCTGATTTTTCTATATGTAGAATAATCAAATAATTGATGAGAAGGGTTTACTTTATATTCTATCAAATAAATGAAGAAGAAATAAAAGAATATCACTATTTTGTTTTATTTTTATTTATTTATTTATTTTAATCCTCACCCGAGGACATTTTTCCATTTCTTGTTCAGATAGAGTGGGAGGGAAGGAGGGAGGGAGAGAAACATCGACATGAAAGGGACACATTGAGTGACTGTCACCTGCACGACCCATCCAGGGCTGGCACAAACCGCAACCGAGGTACGCGCCCTTAGCGGGAACCGAACCCGGGTCTCTCTGGACCGCAGGCCGAAGCTCTAACCGCTGAGCAAAACCAGCCAGGGCGAATATCACTATTTTGTAACATCTAAGGAATTAATGGATCTAGGCAATAATCAATGGTTGCTATGTCAAAAAGGAGATGCCCAGACTGATGAAAATACACACGAAATAGTCCTGCAAACCCTAACAAACAAATCTGAGTCTGATCAATTATCTAGACCTATCAATTTATAGGAAATTCAGGGAATAGAGAAACAGGTTAAATGACACCAAAGAGATGCAAACAATAAAATCCACAGTGGTAAATTCTACAAGACAAATGACCCAGTTTTTCAATAACAACAATAGCAAAAAATTGTGAGAGGGGTAAAAGGAGAGAGGGAAGGAGAAAATCTATTGCAATTTATGATTGGGGAGATGTGAACTGACTGTATATTTGATCATACAAAGAATTACCTTTATAAACATAATGGTACTATGTAATGTCTAGGACTTTCTCCAAAATAATTTTTGACAAAGCTGGGGTAGGTAGGAAATATAGATGAAAATGTAAGTTGCATTAATTGATAATTGTTGAGGTTGGTTGATGGGTGCATGTGGGTTTATTCTATTCTATTTTATTTATTTAAAAATATTTAAAATATATTGTAATAAAAGAACCATAAATTTGACTTGTTAATTTAAAAAAAACAAAAAACCCAACAATCTCTGAAGAGCAGGAATAATGAGAAAATCCTGGTGCTCTCGTTCTGTACCCTGACCTGCATAATGCACAGATAAGTACACACATACAGTATAGATAGATAGCTTACTGAAGCCTCCTCGATAGCAGTGCTCATGTGGCTATGAAAACAAGACCGGTCATCGTCTTCATCCATATACACTGGTGGTTCGTGGGAAGTCATAAAAGTGGAAGGTTTAAAGAGATGCTTATTAAGTGGGTGCTGCCGTCTGCTTGTTGAAGACTAAATGAGAAAACAAATTTTTAATTGGTACAGTGGAAAATCATTAAAAGAATCAAGAAGATAAAAATATAAATGTTACTTCCTACAAGTCTATTAGAAAGAATTCACCTCTATCTTTCATCAAACTCTTATGTGGCTGCTTTTTCTATGTTATGTGGATTTTTAAAGCACTATTAGCCTTAAAAAAAGAAATCCCCCAAAACAGAAATGGGGGGGGGGGGCAGTATCCAAATAACAAGACCACAAGCTCATTCTCTTTATGTCAAGGATGATGGCAGTGGTGGAGGAGAGGAAGTATGATTTACTAAGGAAATAAAATTAGGCCATTATGTACTTAATTTTTTGCAATTAAAGCAAAAAAAAAAAAAAAAAAAACACAAAACTGACTACAATTTGATGCAGTGTTCTATGTAGGAAAGGGACAGTAGCCTTTTCACTATAAAGATAAGCAGAGAAAAGGGGAAATGGCTTGAGATCATAATCAGAGGATCAACGGTTCCCGGACTTAATAGCTATGTGAGTAGACAATTTACTCAACATATCTTAAGGCCTAGTTTTCTCATCTATAAAAGGTTGTACAACAGTACCTGGCCCAGAGCATTCAATCATGAGAATAACAGCTAGCTACTAACATTATTATCAATAAAGTGAAGGTGGAAATATTACTTACACTTCTAAAATAGTAGTGAGGATTAAATAAAATATCTTAAATTTATTTCTAGTCTTGGATTTAAGTCACCTATCTAAAAAATGGAAACTGATTGTGTTTATTAAAGAGTCAAACATTCTAAAAACTTTAACATCACAAAGTCCTTTCTGATATACATTCCATCTAAAATCTGTAAAGTAGCACTCATTCATATAAACTAACCTACTCCTAAGAAAATAATGAACAAACATCACTAAAGCAATAATGCAATCCTACCCTGTTTATGCCCAATATAACGAAACACTAAAGTAGAATTTTAATAAAACAACTCTATTCTAATAAATGTATACACTTTTACCTAGCAATTCTGACTCTGACGAGTTTAATCTAAGATCTAAGGTTTACTTTAATCTATTTTCTTCTTACCTTCTTGGAGTATATATATAAGTTTGGTGTTCTGCCTGGGACTGGAATGCCAGCTTTGGTTAGCTTTATGAAATACTTTTGCACCCGGCTAGCAACCTAAGGAAACATGACAAGCCTTTTAACATGATGCTAAGACATGCAATACCTGAATAGTTTGGGGATTTTTGCACCACTTTGAAATTTATTCATCTAAGTGTATACGCTTTCCATTAAAATTTAAGTCTCTTGAGAGCAGGTACTGGAGGTCCTGAAGGACTGTCAAATTGGGATTCACCACTAAACATTCCACATTAATCTATTCTGTCTTACACCACCATTTATTCCCTTGCTACTGGACTGCTCCCATCAGCATACAAGAGTGTGTAATACCTGAACAGTTTCTGAAAATTAAAATGTATATGTGTACCTAAATGAATGCTAACAATTTAAAACATCATAAATCTATAAATAATTTTAAACTGCCACCAAAGATACTTACATTCTAAAAATGTTTGATTCTAAAGCTAATATATATTTTCAACGTTGTGATACTTATGCTTGTAACACAAAAACACATCTATTACTATCGATGGAAACGTGAAGGCAAAAATTGCCAGATTTTTTTTTGGAGAGGCAAGCAGGGAATACTAAGGCTATGTCATACATCTATTACCACAGTCTAACCAAAAAGTACATGACTGGTACATCATGAAGCATTCAACAGACACTAAGTCCATTACATTTTATTTAGTAATGATCCACAGCAGGATTATATCAAGTTTTTTCTGAAATCAACACAAAAACATGCAATGCTAATTTTAAAACCCTACATACTACAGCACTCTGTAGCCAAAAATGATGCTGCAGATCCACTGATGTCAGCTGCATTATCCTTCATAAAAAACTATCAAAAACAGACCAGCAATATGGGGCCATCTCAATTACCTGCTTTGCTGTCCTATTGCCCAGTTCATCAGCTATCTTCTGCCAGCGTCGTGATTCTACTTCTTCAGGAGGGTATTTCAGGAGTAGCTGTTCAAGTTTTTTCTACGCCAAATCCAAGACCACATATAAGAAAGCTTAATACTGAGTTTCTAAATAAATACGTTCACAGTTCATTTTAAATTATACTATTCCCTCCCCAACTTTGGGGGTTAGGTACTAGAAATCCTCATGGCAGAAAATTTTCTCATAAACAACTTAAATATTTCACAGGGAAAATGAGATTAGAGAATAAACCTACAGATGACCTTATAAAATTTTCTATTCAATTCAGTAAAAAGATAACGCAGCCCTGGCCAGTTTGGCTCTGTGGTTAGAGGATCAGCCTGAGGACTGAAAGGTCTCAGGTTCAAATTCTGGTCAAGGGCACATACCTGGGTTGCAGGGTCAATCCCTGCCCCCAGATGGGGCCCTGCGGGAGGCAACTAATCGATATCTCTCTCTCACATCAATGTTTCTCTCTCTCTCTCCCCCTCCCTTCCACTTTCTCTAAAAAATTGATAGAAAAATATACTCAGGCGAGGATTAACAAACAAAAAAAGACAGCACAAAAAATTAGTATTTTACACATCTTGGTGATTTGCACTGACCACCTTTTCTTGCCAGACTGTGTTTAGGCTCACCCTTATACATCTGACAAAAACATAAAATCATTTGGATTTAGACAGGAAAAGAGACTTTCCCTCCTTCAAATATTTAATTTTAATAGTCTGACCTATTCCTAAATCCTCCCACAGTCCTAAAGATGCAGAATAATCTGGATGATTCTTATGCTTTTAATAAACTCATTGCAGCTGTGCAGTTAACCCTCCTATGAGACAGAAGTGTGTCTCAAACCTACCCAGACAATCCTAGCTGTGTGCCAAAATGGAACAGAACACTCTGAACTGGCTGTGTCAGCTCCCCTCCACAGCAAAATCGAGAACTCACTGAGCCCCAAGTTTTTCTCTCACCCAGAACTGTATTACAAAAACTTTATTTTGTCCATTTCACGTTTTCAATCCCCCCACAACACCCAGGTTCCTTCTTTAAAAATCACCCCCAAACCGGATTTCATATGTTCTCAAAATCCAAAATTCTCGAAGTGTGCAAAATGTATACAGAAATAAGTTTAAATTCACAGTGAGGAGTGATTATATACAATAATATACATTTTATTCATAACACTGGCATTAATCTTAATTCTTTTCAACCTACACAGTTTGGGAATATCTATTACCTGTTCTTCAACAGTCCACAACTGGTTAAAGGTTTCAGGTTTGGTATCATCACACAGACGTCCTCTTATCATCTGCATATAAAACAAAGGCTTTTGTCAAAGAGAAAGTAACAAAGACTATCCTCTGATATAGTCAAATAACAAATTGTGAAACATTTTTATTAATTCCATGATATGTTAGTACATTTACTTTGTAAAGTGTACATGTTTTATTGTTTACAAAATGTTTTCACAATCCTTTACTTCATTTAGATTTATGAAATAAAACCACTGCATTGGGCATATTACACATTTACTCATTTAATCCTCACAACAACTCTACAACACAGGTAATATTAATCATATTTTATGTAAGAGAAAACTGCAGATTGGAGACCTTAATCATAAATAACACCTGAAGTTCCACAGCTAATTAAGTGCGAGAGTTGGGAATGCAACCCAGCTTTCTCTTAACTTCATAGTTCATGTCCCTGCTATCTTCAGTGAAAGACTGCTTGAATTTTAAGAATACAAACCAGCAAAATATTAAAATATTCTGTCTACAATTCAAATTTTCCTACTCCAACATTTTAAACTGCTTACTTGAGGACGACTGTTTGAGCCTTCCGGACCATCACTCAAAGGCAACATAGAGTATGAAAGGGACTCTCCATCCTTCTTAGGATCTGAAGGACTTTTTGGTCTAGCAGGTAAACCTACTAAATAGAAGACCATGTATAGGATTATTAAAGCAAGACTTTGCCAGGTATTTCTCTATTCAAATTCTTTCTTTTTTTTAAAATTAATTTATTTTTGTTACAGATGTTTCTCCTTTTTCCCCCCATTGACACCCTCCTCCCAATCTATTCAAACTCTTATCACATCATTTCTTACCTTTATCAAAAACTAGCTTAACTCTCCTAGTATGTCTTTTACGATTTTTAAATTCTCTTTCAAAGTTCCCAAGGCTATTGGTATATTGGTCCCATACGATCTCGGGCAATTGAACAACTCTCTGTGGATATGGAAGCCCTATATCAGCCTGGAAAAAAATAAAATAACCTAAGTTTAATTCAAGAAATTATCAACTATAGATGGCTCCAAAGCCAAATACTTGTCAACTGCGCATTTCTAATCACTGCTGAAATCCAATAGCCAATGAAGTTAAGATAATGTCATCTAAACATTAAATGGTAAAGATAAAGCAAGGAAAGAAAGGATCAATGTAACAAAACATAAGCACTATTTTTGGAGCTCTAAAGCTGAACTACATAGCTACATAGATATATTGTACATTATCACCAACAGAAATTTTTTTTTATCCTCACCTGAGGACATTTTTCCATTTTTTGTTCAGATAGAGTGGGAGGGAGAGAGAGAGAGAGAGAGAAACATTGACGTGAAAGGGACACATTGAGTGGTTGCCACCTGCACGACCCAACCAGAGCCAGGGACAAACTGCAACCGAGGTATGCGCCCTTAGCGGGACCTGAACCCGGTCTCTCTGGACCACAGGCCGCCGCTCCAACCGCTGAGCCAAACTGGCCAGGGTCAGACTTTAAATATAAATAGCAAAGCAAAGAAAGGTTTTTATGTCTAAGAACAGCATATGAAATGTGTCTGACTGCAACAGAGTTTAAATGTACCCCATGTTCATGACTTATCCATGAAACAGTGAATTATTTCCACAATATATACTCTCACAACATGTAAAAAAAATTATGACATGTTGAGAATCAAAATTAACCTTTAATTTACTTGGAATTCAGTTATTTTATCAACCACCTTTCGAGAAGTCATTAGTTGTCATAGGTACTACAACCAGGTCACTATGATCAATATCTTTTAATAGGGATTTGGGTATTATGATTCCTCTGTGAATTTCATTGTATGAAAATTTCACCTTTAAAAACCTTAAAAAAGAATTCTAGGTAACACTATGCATTCTGAGTGTTTTGGTATAAAGTTAACATACGTCTGCAACTTTGAAATGTATCAAAAGTATTCTATCTCAAAATAAGATGGAATGATGGATTGAAAGATTGATAGATAAGTGAGAAAGCAAATACAATAAAATGATCATTGTAGAATTTAGGTGGTGGACATGTGTATTAACTCTTCAGTACCTTCAATATTTTTATACCTTTAACATTTGTCAGAGTAAAACATTGAGGGGAAAAATCACATCATAAATTATGAAACTGGAAAGTAAAATCCACTTTTTGACACAGAATCTTAATGTTTATATTATTTATAACATATTCCATTATCATAATCATTATCATAGTAGTACCTATAAGCCTAAGGTTCAACTTTTGCAAAATTAAAGCATCTTTTAAAGTAATGATGGTACTACCAAAGAAAGCTAACAAGCCATAAATGTTCCCTGCATTCTATATACTAATATACACCACAAAATTCCTCAATTTGAATGAGTTTATACATGTCCACTAAAACAAACAGATCATGTCAACTACTTAATAGGGTAAACCTGAAGAAAACAGGCAAATGAAGTATACATGTGTAAACATAGAAAAACAAGAGTCAAACATCTAAAGTAAATCCAGTAGAAAAATTTCTAAGGAATGTAAGTTTTTTACCTTTATTAAAGTACCTGGATTTTATATACACCTAAACATTTTTTTGTTAATAATTCTTAAGATGGTCTATATCACATCTCTTACTGAGATACAAAGAAAACAAATTCAGTTTTAAACTAAACCTGAAAATGGAGAACCAGCAAATAACCAGCTGCACACAACTCTAGTAAATGTGCCTAACTCTACGTTCTGCCCACCCGGAAATGTGAATAATAAAATTAAGGTTAATAAATGGGTTATTAATATTTAATTTTCTTACACCATCTGTTTTACTTGGAACCTTTTTAAGTAATCATGGTAAGTACTCTATCTTCTTGCTACAGCAAACTGTTTAATAAAAGCAATGTAGAATCAATAAACACCTAAGTGGGCCTATAACAGGGAGGATGCAATAGGTTCCAGAAACTTTAAGTTTTAACAAATCAATATATAGATTCTACATCCATTAAGATACTCAGCGTTCTTAAAGCATGGAGAGAAAGAAATGTTTGCCAACTAAACAGTAGAGCTAGAAAAATCCAAATAATAAATTAATACCTGGTAGATTGCTTTTGTGTTTCATTAAAAACAGGTAACTAATAACTACACTAAAGTTGTTAGACTACACAAGCTAGGTTTTTGTTTTTTAAGGTGAAGAAGAGGATTCTCTTTTATAGTGTTACAGTTTCAATCTTTTCACACAACGCTGGCTAACAGTATGCAAATATATTGAACAATCAGTGGGTACCTAATTCAAGACACCTGCTATGGCATTATCTCCATATTTATACACTAAAAAGGTTATTATAAAAACTTGAATCACTTTCATATGGTTAAATGTTAAATATGAAATTTCTGTTTTAAGGAAAACAAAAAATTACAAGAAATTTTTACACTAAAATAAAGGACACTTCAAAATTAAGTAAAATTTATACCTCCACCTCATGGACTTGGCAACCATAACATTAAAGACATTTAAAACAGAGGTTTTTTTGTTGTTGTTGTTTTTTATGTTTTATTTATTTTTTAGAGAGAGAGAGAGGAAGGGAAAGATAGAAACATCATGTGAGAGAGAAATGTCGATCGGCTGCCTCCTGCACGCCCCTCTCTGGGAACCGAGTCCCCAACTGCATGTGCCCTGACTGGGATCAAACCAGGACCTCTCAAGTCCACGGGATGGCGCTCAATCCACTGAGCCACACCAGCCGAGCTAGAGTTTCTGTTTTAATTCACCACTGTTTTCTATCTATGTAAAGAATTACAAAAGTAACTTGAAACTAAAGGAGTTGGTAAGTCCTGAGGTTCTTTGTTTTGTTTTTTAGCTTCACTCAAATAAAGAAAACAGAAGAAGGAAACAAACTAAGATGGGGAAGGTAACAGGAAAAGACCATAACACTAGTTAGGGAATAGGACATCAAATTCCTCTATGAACATCCAAATAAAGTTCCTAGCAATTTTCACTAGGATATATTTTATGTGTATTTGGTGGGGCTTTTGTAATGGAAGACAAGTATCCTGCCTTCAGTAGTATGGTTACTTACAGAAGGGGGAAAATATTAAACATTTTAAAATATATATACCGTATTTAAAAAAAAACAAGTTGTTACCCAATACACCTCAGAAAATCTTATAAAGTGCTTCATATATACCTTCTTCTGGAGTTTCTCCACAAATCCAATGGGATTTTTTAGTGCTTCTCTCTGATGTCTGCTTAAACTTTCAAGGTCCTGGACTGCTTGAGAACGCTGAGCCTCAAGTACAGCAATCGTCTGTAATAGTCTCTGATAACTATAGAGACAAAGAAAAATACATCACTAAAATTTTCTAGTAACAATAATAAATAAAAACTGAGTTCAAGCCATTATCTACTATTAAGTCACACAGTCTTTTTAAAGTTACCTGAAAGAGTTTAGTAAAACATATTACTGGGAATAAATGAGGTCTTCCTGAGTTACGAAGTACCTAGTTAGAAAATATCAGTTAGAGAAAGCAAAGCCTTATTCCCCCATCAAATTTTTTTTTAACTTATATATTGATTTTTAGAGAGGAAGGTGTGTGTGTGTGGAAGAGAGTAAGAGAGAGAGAGAGAGAGAGAGAGAGAGAGAGAGAGAGAGAGAAACCTCGATCTGTTGTTCCACTTATTTATGCATTCATTGGTCAACTCTTATGTGTTGCCTGACCATGGATCAAACCTGCAACTTTAGTGAATGGGGATGACACTAACCGAGCTACTCGGCCAAGGCCTCCCCCATTTTTTAATTCTTGAAGCTGAACGAGTACAAAAAATAAGAAAGTATCTTAACTTTCTAACAATCGACATCATCAAGAAACTGCTAAATAAAAGAAAAATTAAAACCGTAAGATTTTAGCACTAGGAGAGATCACCAAATTCAGCCCCTCTATTGTACTCTATTGGAATGAGGAATCTGAGGTACACTTTCTTGTCCAGAATTATAGGAAACTGTCACATAACTCAACGTCATCTTATGTGTCATGCTTCTCATTTGCTCTATTATACCATTCCAGAGGAAGTTTACTTTCCTGTCGATTCTTAAGTATTAAATATTTTAAAAGAAGATAGGCCATAAAGATATTTTTTACTTCCCTTCCTACCAAAGTCCAGTTAGGGCAGCTAACATATAATTTTACCCACACAAATCTACTTACTACCTGCCATTATCCTGAAATTTCACTATGGTACATGTATATTAATTCCTCCCCTCCCCCCCATTTCCCTCTAGTTCAAACTGTTTAGCCTCTCTGACTAAGGTCTAATTTCACATGTAGATACAAATGTGTAAACCTGTTGACCTCAAAGCCCTAAATGCTCAAATACATTTTGCAGAATCAGGAACAAGTCATTCCAAGATCACTTCAAAATAAGTGGTTAAGTCCTTAAAGTATTAATGAAGCACACTTTTTCTTTATGGCCTCAAATAAATTGCATTATTTTGTCCACTGGACTGTAAACTCCACAATGGCAAACACATCTGAAAAGCCCACTGTGTTGTTTATCCAGTGTGCAGCACACTTCCCAGCATTAATATGTGCAATAAATATTTTTTGAATGAACAAATGAATGGACAGATATTCTGTGCAGTCAAAAATACACTGAATCTTTTAAGTTCAAAGTCAGCAAACTCTCAGAAATTGCAAGGATAAAAAAAAATGCAATTTTGAGATTTACAAACGTTGCATACTGCAACGTGACATCACAACACTTTCTCAGCTCCCTAAGACATAGCTAATTCTTGTTCTCAAGTCCCCTGTTAACTAATCCTTGGTGAAATGCTTAATAATTAAGGTTAAAAAATGCTAGCACTGAAGGGTGAGATTCCTCTCAAGCTAGAAATATTCTATTTAAAAGTTAGAACTGAGTTGGAAAGCAAGGGTTGTACTCAGTCACTCCGGGAGAGTTACAAAAGTTAAGTCTAAACTCACTTTCACTATGTCTCTGTTTGCTTAGAGGTGTGTATGGAGTATACAAATCTGCCTGTGCTGGCTGTTTTGTTTCTTCCAAGCAGGTTCACCTAGGCTCAGTCTTAGGGTGATGGCAGTGAGCTGAGTGTCAGAACCTATCCCCTCTATAATGTTCTTAACTGCCATATTTCATCTCTAGAACTCCTACTATGCTAGTTGAATAAGCAAGGATTTGTCATAGCATCTCTATAATATGACTGACCTGTTTTATTTTATTTTTATTTATTTTTTATTTTTTGGTACATGCCCCTAGCGGAAACCGAACCCGGGACTCTCTGGTCCACAGGCAGACACTCCAACCTCTGAGCCAAACTGGCCAGGGCTGACTGACCCGTTTTAAACAGGAGTTGCACAATTCTGTAGCATCAATATAAAAATAATTGTGAGTGTATTAAATTTCAGCAACTGCTGAAAACACAGTAACCATCAATAAGGAATAAGAGTAGTTACAGGAAAAACAAGCAGAGGCTGGAATAAAGTGCTACAGTCAGTTATCGACACTGGGTAGAAAGGCCTCTATCTGAAGCCAATAAATTTTAATAATTTTTACTGTATATAAATTATTATACAATAATTCTGACTTTAAAGAAATAATTCCAACAAAGATGACAAAGAAGGTATAACTTTTCAACTCCTATTTCTCTTCTCTTTAATTAAGATAAAATGATTATCAGATTGAAAAGCCTAAGATAAGCACTGGTAAGACTTAAAGTCCAGAATAAGTGAGAAGACCAAGAAAACAGTGAATTCAAGTCTTCTAGGAATTATTTCCTAGAGTACTCAGAGACTTACCAGTAAGATTACCATATACATCCCTATACAGAAATGGAAGGAATCATTAAAAACTGTGGTGACATCTAAAAACACAGTGTGATACATACAAATCTATTTTCAATCTTATCCACTTAACCTCCTAAGCAAACTACTGGAAGCTGATCTAGGCATCAATCAAGACATGATTCATTCACTGAATCAGTAATTATTTACCAAGAGAAGACACTATTCTAAAAGCTTCAGTAATTATGAAGGTAAATGAGGCATGGAGCTTAGGTATAACAGGGGAGCTACAATTACATCAGAGAGGGAGAAAAGGAATTAGATAAAAGGAAATGGGATAGAATTGGGCCATGCTGTTGGGAGTTGGAGGGTGGGTATGGAGAGTCCATCATACTAGTCTGTCTACTTTTTATATATTTGAAATTCTCCACAATGAATTAAAAAGAAAAGTCCAACTTCAGTCCATATTAATGGGGGACGTGACCACTGCACTCTTCCTGGGTTGGTCAGATCACACCTGCTACTATATTCAGCTCTGCTTTAAGATAAGACAGTTCAGAAACTATGTAATAAGAAAAAACAATAGTGTCTAACACATTACATTTACTGTGTACTATACAGGGTGTGGCAGAAGTAGGTTTATAGTTGTTTATATGGAAAATAATAATTAGTAAATAATAATACACGAATAAATTGTACTCACAATTGTATACCTACCTTTGCCCCACCCTGTATTCCAGACATTGTTTTAAGTGTAGTAACTCAATCCTCACAGATATATAAGATAAGGTACTATTATGCTTACTTTACAGATAAGGAAACCAAGGCACAGATGAAATAACTTGCCAAAAATTAGACAGGCCATTTATAGTATAGATGTGATGTGAGAAATGGTTAAAATAACTGAGACTATTTAATCAAGAAATGAAAACCTCCAACAGGAAATTATTCCAATCTTTACTTAACATGCAGCTATGTGAAAAAGAAAATAGACTTGTTTTATAGGGTACAAAGGGTCAAACCACAATAAAATTGTGGTAACTACACAATATGTACAAAAAGGCTTATCTCAGTGAAAATCAGTAAAAGATAGCCCTAAAGGCAACCCAAGCACTAAAAATCCCCAATCTCTTTAATTCCAGTATAAGATGCTACTTTCACTTTGGATATTCATAATACCAAGTAGGAGAATGAACTAACTTTTTGAATGTATACATTTTTACATGAATGCATATATAGTTATAGTAAGCTTACCTGTGGCAAAGAATTGTTCATTGTATTTTAAGTCTTGAACATAAAATATCGTTAGCTTTTATATTATGGAACTGTATTTGTCTAAAATATAAATACTCAAGTCTATGTCTATTTTCACTACCTTTCATTATCCAAGTCTTCTTTATTCACTTCCGTGAATATAAAAACATATGAAAGATTATAAAGGTAAAAATCCTGATGTCTGGAAGATAATACCAAGGAATTAGCAATCTAGAAGTTTAATTTTATTGTCCAATTTTTAAGCAATATTATTACACACACTGGGGGGGGGGGGGATTTTCAACTGAACCAGAATCTTTTTCAAGGAATCAGTTTTCCATTTCTATTATAAAAACAAGTCTTAAGGTTACACGGCATTTGTAATCTTAAAACATTTTTTTATTCCATTTTTTGTTCAGATAGAGTGGGAGGGAGAGAGAGAAAGAGAGAGAGAAACATCGACATGAAAGGACCATATCGAGTGGCTGCCATCCGCATGACCCAACCAGGGCTGGGGACAAACTGCAACCGAGGTACATGCCCTTAGCGGAAACCGAACCTGGGTCTCTCTGGACCACAGGCCGATGCTCTAACGGCTGAGCCAAACCAGCCAGGGCAAAAGATTTTTTAAAAATTCAGGCTGAGGGACAGCCTGCCAAAAAATTGGCCTGATTCTTCATACAGTCATTAAATAGTATCATTAAAGACAAAACAAAACCAAAAAAAAACCCAAAGCTATTCTAGATCAGGAATCTACAACCTATGGCTCGCCCATTTTTATAAATAAAATTTTACTGGAATACAGTCACACTCATTTGTTTACATATTGTCTATGGTTGCTTTCCAGCTACAATGAGTAAAGTGGCTGTAAAGTGGACTTGGTCCCCAAAGCCTAAAGTATTACTCTCTGGCCCTTTAAGAAAAAATGTGCTAGGCCTGCTCTAGATTAAAGGATACTGAGAGGTAACAACCAAATGTAATGCATAATTAGATCTCAAAGAAGGGGGAGGAAACATTTTGGGGGACAGACGGGAAAATTTAGATTGTGGATTATATCATTTTATTGTATTAATGTACGTCTGCTGGGTTGTAATAAGGTATTCAAGGTTATGCAGGAGAATGTCTTTGTTTTTAGCAGATAGATACATATACACACACTGAAGTATAAGGGTGATGAATCTACAACATACTTTCAAATGACTCAATAAAAAGTTTCAAAATAGCCCTGGCCGGTTTGGCTCAGCGGTTACAGCGTTGGCCCAGGGACTGGAGAGTCC